AATATAGGGACACTTATTTTCCCAGAAAAAATAATAAATAAATAAATAAATAAATACGAATACATTTCAGGCCAAACTACAAGAAACACATATTTCCAGCCTTTTGATGTGAGAAATGTTGTTGGGCATTTCTCTCACCAATTTACCATCCATTTAGCTAATTTTTAAAAATTACCAACAGCTTACATGAGGGACTCTTATATTTTTCTTCACTTGAGTGTTATATTTTTGTCAATTCCAAAATTTAAATGTACAGTACAGAGATACACTCTTCAATGCTCCAAATTTTCTTATTGAGTTGAAAATGTAATCTCTAATTAAAATTCAAGTGGCAAACAATTTTCTCCAGGGAATTCTGAAGAATATTTCTTCCAGTAAGTCAAAATTTGAATAACCTTATGGCCTTGTATTGCACAAAAAGCAGAAATTAATTTATTCCAAAGACAAATTATTCATACAGTATACTCGTAATCAAGATTTGCTGTATCAAATCAAAATTGAATTCATTGGTCAGCACCCAAATATTTTCCTGAGCTGTTATTGGCCAAAAAGAACATTGTTGTGTGTTTAACCTGGGAAATCTTCCAATTTAACTGAAACAACAGAAAATAATTTTACCTGGCAATTTTTCTGAAAAAAAAAATCAGCTGGTTGCCAGAATAAGCAATTGTTCCTTGCATTTTGTTGTACTTTTTGTTCAACAAAAGTACGCTGCAAGGATTTCAAATGTCGAGGAATCGCTTTACCATGCATGAAATTCAAGTTCAGTGCAAATATGAGTCTAATTAATTTAATTTACTGTACTGCTGCATTTATCCTACTGTATGTCAAGTGCATAGGAGTGTATATGTGATCACACATACACAACAATTTCCAGTATTATAGGCTTCCCAACGTTTTAAAGGAAACCACGATGTAAATATAGTCAAGCATGAGCAAAGTATTGTACTCACTGAGGACACAAGGAAAGCTGAAGTTCCAAAATGATGACGTTTGTGAGATGAAGCACAAATAATCTGTGATCACCGACGGCGGCAATTTGAATAATTCTTGGCCGGAAGTAACTCCAGATGTGTCACTTTGGCATCTATAGTGTTCTCCATTACTGCAAATGCTGGTTCCAGTATTGGTCAGCATTATTGAAACTATATATGTGCTGTATATAAGGCCAACGTACGCGTGACCTTATTTATTGTTACATATTCTTTCCCAGGAAAACTGATTGCAGCACAGTTCATCAAGTCAAAAAAGTCACTGAGATGACATGGCCGGTATAAAGTCAGAATCCAGTCATTTTGAGACATGGTAAAAAGTGACATTATGAAGATGCAATGTGAGTGCGTCTCATGTGGACATGTATGAAAAAGACTGGAAGTTGACTACAAAAATGACACGTCAGTTATTGGAAGAGTCTGACACGTCAGAAATGGACGTGTCAGTGAAGCAGGTATAAATGCAGTGAAAAGCTTGTATGAAATGTGGACACGTCAACATCGCATCAGAAAATGATGCTATGCTTCAGAAGCACCTCAGATCCATCAATAAACGTATATTTAGACAACTATGAAATGAAATGAGAAGGAAAATGTATAATGCAGTGTATGACATTGAAATGTTGAAGTGTTGTGCGCAAAATATAAAAATTATATTTCATGTTCTGGAACGTCACTCAAAGATTTTGGGTAAAAAAAATTCTATTTAACGTTTTGAAACGTCATTCAAAGTTGTTGGGTAAATTTTTCTATTTCACGTTTGAAAACGTGAATCAACAGGTAGGGTTATAGATTTGAGTCATGTGACTTATAACATTCTTTTTTTATCAACCCCCAAAAAAGTGCATTATATACATATATACATATGTTTATCAACGACAAAAGTTTACATTTGCATTATACAGACACACAATGCTATATTAAACGTTTTTAGGTCTTGCATTATTATGAGTACTTGCAGAATGTGAAGTCAAATTTTCGAAAATTTGAGTCATGTTCCGAAACGTGACTCAATATAAATGGTCAAATTTCCAGAAAATTTCAGTCACGTTCTGAAACGTGACTTATAAATTTCTTTTTCTTATCAACCACAAAAGTTAACATTAGCATTATACAATCACTAAATGCAATATTGAATGTTTTCAGGTCATACAATGTAATGTATATATAATGAGTAGTCGCAAAACTGGAATTTGAATTTTCCAAAAATTTGAGTCACGTAGTTTTTAAACATGACATGAATTTGAAGTCAAATTTTCCAAAAACTTGAGTCACGTTCCCAAAGGTGACTTGTAAATTTATTTTTCTTATCACTCTATGTTAGCATTATATACAGACTAAAAACGCTATATTAAACATTTTCAGGTCATACATTATAAAGTAAATAATAAATACTTGCAAAACTTGATAAAAATTGTTCCAAAAATTTGAGTCAGACATTTTTCTTCAATCAACCAAAACAATGAAAATTTACATTATACACAGTCAGATGTGGTCAAGAGAAGAGACATCTACCTGCACTGACTAGAGAAGTCATGATCACTTTGTACCAAGAAGGTGTTGTATGGCGCTAGTAGGCTCAAGTATGGCGGCATCCATGGCACCGCTGGTTAGAATCCTATTTCCTTGCAGTTTCTTCTAAGATGTGAAAAAATGTGTTATCTTGTGAACAACTATCCTGTTTATTTTTTTGGATAATTTTGATTATCAGTGGTTTGTCACTGATTTGTTATTTTTCCTCTCCAGATTTTTGCAAAATTATGTTCAACTTCACTGACTCTGTGGGTTTGCACAAATGTTGCACATACAATATTGGCATATCAGAGTATGCGAGGTTTGGAGAATTCATCACGGACATCTTCTTCAAAAAACGAGCATGGATGGCCGGAATTTTCAAACTCAAGTGTACTCCGGAATTGATAGAAGCCTTGGACCCCCAGGGTAAAGGAATTGTCTCCTGGACATCTGAAGAAGACGGAACACTGTGGTCGAAAATCCACAAAAAATCTGTGGGGAGAGTGTTGGAGCAGGAACTTGAAAAAGTGCATGAGCATGGCATCTATGCCAGCTACATGAGTGAATCAAAATGTGACGCAAAGAGTGCACAGGAATTTTTGGACTTGGCAAGGGAAGAAGGATTGATGCATCCCTATCCCCTTGGTGGGGCTGGATGTAATCTCCAACATCCTCCAGAAAGTGACCTGAGGAAAACTGTGAAGCACTCAACTGAAGTTGAGAACCGCAAGCAGTACTGGTCTGCCCTCAGATTGATGCAAATTGGTGAGAAGACAGCAAAAATGAAGTATGTGACCAAGATGAGTGTTCCAGAAGTGGATTCTACAAGACTGGATGAAATTCTCAACCAGCAAAAGAGGCCAAGTGATGTAAGTTTACTTCATACTTCATAGCATGTTTCAGCTCCTCAGTACATTTTATTATTATTTACAATATTTTTAGGTGCATTTCTGTCCTGATCTTGCTGACCTGCCTGGATCTAAGCTTGGTAACTTGTTCAAGAGTTATGATCCACCCCAGCTGATTGAAGGTGTCAGCTCTCCGTTTTTCTTCATGGGGACTAGAGGTTCATCATTCTCAATGCACACCGGGGACATGGACCTCTTATCCATAAACCTGCATTGGGGTGGATATCCCAAGATTTGGTAAGTTTAATGAAAGTGCATTTTTGTAATTCTTGTATTATAATAATTCCAATAATTGCAGGTACAGCGTGGGTGCATGTCAGGTTGCAAAGTATGAAAGCATTGTGGAAATTGCAATTGGCAAAGACTTTCCACAATGTGGCAACCTTCCCTGGCACAAAATCTACATCTTTGATGTAACTTGGTTGGACCATCATTACCTGAATGCATGCGTGGCAATTCAATACCCCATGAATTCATCATCACCACACAAAAAGGACCACATGGAGGGATCAACACTGGGCTTAACCTAAATGTGGCTGTGAATTATGCAGTCCCACTTTGGGTTGATTATGGTTTGAGGGCAAAGTTCTGCTCTGGTGAAGGGTAAGTTTTCAAGCATGATAAGCCATTTTTTGACTTATACCTAATGATTCTTTCTTGAATTTGTATTGCAGATCTCATGAGAACAATGTCCAATTTCCAATGGAATCATTTGTGCAACACTACTGCTGTCCCAAATTGTACAAGGAGTGGATCAAATATGGACTGAAGAATTTCCCTCAAAACAGGCCTGACTTGACTGCCACTGGAATTGAGAAATATGCTCGTCCTCCAACCCTAACTGAACTCAAGTTAAGCAAAATGTAAGTATATTTAAGGAATAAAAGTTTTTTGCATTCATACTGATGATGGAAACAATTTCAGACCATCAACAGATGCTGAATTGCACTATGAAACCAGAGGTGGAGATGAAGTGCAGAAGAATCTACTTCATGTTTTAAAGAAGAGAATTGCCTTCTTGGAAGGGAAAGTCAATGATGTCCTTGGATTAGGGTGAGTGATGAGTAATCTTATCTAAACTTTTGATGTTATTATGGATTATACATTACGTCTTTTTCTATTTCCAGGATAAACAAGCCTGAATCAGTTTCAAAGAAGCACTTGGCACTGATTCAACAAGAGGTTGACAAGAGGCGCAGAAATTTGATGACAGCAGAAGACGCAATTGGAGAAGCGGAATTGGGCAGCGAGATTCCAGACAAGTTACTGGAAGTTGGTGCAATCCTGCTCTTTGAAGAAGACATGAAGAAGAAGTTAATTCATGATGATTTCAAAGAAGAACAGACGCGAAAATTGAATGAAAAAGATGATGATGTTGTGTTTGCAAAGAATTCTTTGAAGAAACCTTGCTTGGAATGAATAAAAAGTAGAAAAGTTCTTTGATGTTATGCTACCTATTGATCCTTATATTCATAAACAGTGTATACATGTGATAATGTTTGTACTAAACAAATTCTCTTTCCTCCTTCCTTACAGGTTATTGTGCAAAGAAGAAGGACAAGAAAATGTCTTCAAAACCGCGTAAAAGTGCAAAAAAAGTGTGGAGTCAGAGTGACATCTAAGGGATGAAAGCAACCAACTTGAATGCAGTTGCGCTTTACCAAGCTTTCCGGGAAGGCTTGGACAAAAAGGTGCAATGTGTGAAAGGTTGTGTGACTGTGCAAAGTTACACAAAGTTTTGTGAAATATGTGATGCTGCACAGAACTACTTGGATGGATACTTGAATGAAACACCATGCATCAATGAAGGGGAAGAGGATTCTGCTTCCTTTGAACAATTGAAAACCTTCATTCTTCAAGTCATGGAAGAGCATTGTAAGCATCTGCTATTCTTTGTGTAATATAAAATCATTCTATATTGACAACCTATTATAATTTGATACATGTATTGCAGCAATGACAAATTTGAAAGAAGTTGTAGCATTCAAAAATGAAGAAGTCAAAGGTGCTGCTGATGAGGAGAACATTGATGATGCTGAACCACAACATTCTCCAACATCCAGCAGCCTAACATCACAAACACTCCAGCTACTTTGTCTGATCCTTTGGCAATGGCTTCCTCATCAGGTGAGCTAATAATTGTGTTACTTCTTAAATAAATTTAGTACATGTTAAATAAACATCTGGTAAATGGAGAAGGAGAAAAACCAGCAACATATTTTATACAGAAAAGTTGATATGCTTCACTGCTTCCTCACAGATGATACAGATGATGAAGTTGTTCCTGTTCATTTCATTGAAAAGCCTTCAACCACATCATCTACTTGTCAGGATGAAGTGTCTTTGGAAGCTGTGATATTTTCAGAAAGAGGTATAGGATACATACAATGTCTTCTTTCTTGTTTCCTTTTATAATCTGGAATATTTGAATTTACGAGATTATAATGTTTTGAATTATTCCAACAACAGATGATACAAACACCAATGATTGTGTCCCTGATGTCAAAACGCCATCAAGTGTTGTTACTGCAGGGCCATCAACTACACCAGATGGTGCTTGTGAAGAATCAGTGGACAAGTCCTGTTCATCTGACTCCTCAGAGTCCTCAGAAACACTTAAGTATTCAAAAAAAGTCAGGTTGCTTAAAAATTTTATAAGTCATGTTTGGGAACATGACTCACATTTTTGGAAAATTTGTCTTCCATTTTTGCAAATATTTATCATATACATGATATTGTATACATGCATACATTATATGCATATTAATATACCATATTAATATACCAACAATATATAACGCTTCATTTTAATCTTTATCAATATTTCTACATTACATGCCCTTCACGATGTCTTCTTCATCAACTTATGTACTTACAGATGAAAATGGCCTTCAAAAGGATGCTGCGGGACTGAACATGCTGGAACCAATGTCACATCTGGCATTGGTTGATGAGAAAAACCTAATCGCCAACCAAATTGTGCCATTCTTGCTTGGGCTGCAAGCAAGTGGTGACAAATGGCCAGATGAACAGAGAAAACAACTTGATGGTTTGAGAATCACCCTTAATGAACACACTTTGAAAGGACTGTATGATGCTGACATCTTCAAGTACACTCCATCAGATAATAAGGAGATCCTTGAATGTACCAATGAACAATGTGATGCAATGGATAGGGGATGCCATATGTATCGTCAAGTGTATGAAGCACACTTCAAGCCAACGGTTGCCTTGTTCCTGAGGCTGTTGAAAGTGGATGCCTTCTACAAAGAGAAGGAGTGGGACTATGAGCTGGTTGACTTGGGGCTGTATCCCCAAAAAGTGACTCCTTGTGCCTCCAAACAGGCACAAAGTGATCATATGGAGAGGAGGCTGAAGTCAATCTTTGATGTGAAAAAGAATCTGGAATCCATATGTCAGAAGGAAGTCATTGGGCATGACACTGCCCAAGTTATTTATGTTTCCCAAGGATTGTCAATTTGTCTGGATGATCATGAACTCTTCATGATTGCAGTGAGGAATGCATTAATGATGAAAGTATCACCATGGACCATAAAGAAAAGTGATGCTGCATCAAATGAAGCAAAATCATCAATTCATGACCTCTGCAGAAGGATGTTTTGGCCAGGGCCAACATTCAAAACAATTGTGAACCCTGTCTGGCGAAATATTTTTGGTAAATCAAGTGACAAGATTGATTTCCATTATCAACGTTGAACAACCATGATGAGTGAGTATTGACTAATAAATAATGCCATATAAACTTTTGTCACATGCTTATGATTTGATATTTATAGAATACTTTGAGGCTGTGTACGAGTTTGTGCAGAGGTTGATCCTTGACGAGAAAAAAGCAGAGGGCATCAAGCCCCCATCAATGCAACCATACAAAAAAGTAGTGAAGGTCATCACTGAAACCTTAAGGAATAGACTCTCTCACCTCAGAGACAAGGAAAACAATAGCATCCTAACAAAGATAGGAGCAAATGTGAAGTGGTACAAAAGTGTTTGGGCCACAAAAAACTGCAAAAATAAAGTTTTTGAAGATGTTACGGGTACACCTTCAAATCCTGTTGAACAGCCGGTTAAACGCAGACTTTGAGAACTTGACAGTGATGATGATGATGATTCTGATGACTGATGATTTTTTCATGTGTGTTTTTTTTGCGTTACTATATGCATTGCTGTGATTGATATTATGTTTACAGTTTTGTTATTTGTTCCTAATGTTCATGAATTTGTGCATACTTCTCTACAGTTTTACAAAAGTGTGTTTTATTTCATCCATATATAAGTTGTTATCTGTATATATGCACCCATACATTTGTAAATGTAAATTTTCAGTTTCTCAAGTGTTATTCTCATTTCTCTATCATCAGTACATGCATCAGTATACATGCACAGAAATCATGGACACAGAAAATCATAAAGTTTCACTGTGAACAACTTTGATTCTCATTCTTCAATCATTCTTTTGTTACAGATGGAAATGGGTTATACTCTAAGTGACAGGGAAGTCAGTGCAATTGTTTGTACAATTAATTTGTGAAATCTGTTCAGAGTTATATCAAGAAACAACAGAAGGAGGGCAAAATTAGCTATACAACAGCTTGAGGAGTGGAGGAGTACAGGAGATTCTTTTACTGTTTCACTGTGTTGCCAATTGAAAGACAACTTGTTGGCAAATGGCATGTATGACCTTGATGCTTTTTTCAATCAAGTTGGACTGGTTGATGTGACCAAGTTTCTTGAACATGAAAGGTATTCAATTCATGGCCAGGAAAATGAAGATACTGTCAACATTGGTCATGCAACAGAATGAGTTGGAGCTTCAACTGCTCTTGAAGAGTTCTGGAAAAATGAACAGTCAATGGAAGATAAAAAAGAAATTATAAGTCACATTTGGGAACGTGACTCAAATGTTTGGAAATTTGAGTCATGTTTTGCAACCATTTATAACATTTAAAATATTGTATGATGTTAAAACCTTGATTAATGCATATTGTGTCTGTATAATGCACTTGAGTCTGTATAATGCAAGTAATGTGATATTTTGTGGTTTAAAAAGGTAAATGTATAAGTCACGTTTGGGAATGTGACTCATAATTTTGGAAAATTCTTCAAGTTTTCAAGTATTTCTCAAACTTGTTTGCAGTTACTGGCTTGGATTACAATGTACCTCCACTGTCGCAAGAATACGTACAACATGGCCCAGGAAAACAGCGGTCTTTCCTTTAAATACTGAGTCATTGGTCTTCAGCAGATGCAACATCATTGGATTCCATGACTGACTTGCTTTGTTTACTGAAAAACTATAAAGTAACGCTGTCTACTACGGACTACAATTGTAAATGGCCAATGACTGGGAAAACACTTTTGCAGGTTGATGAGAGGCAGTTTGCAGACATATTAATTTGAGACCTACAAGACTTCCATGATGAGAAAAAGGCATTCCTTGGAGAAGCTGCAATTTATAAAGCACATGATAATGTTGAAGGAACCAGTGTGTGCGCTGTTGAACGTTCAGTGCTTGAGCAAAGGAATGTGAGCAGTATGCATTTAGCCACTAACAACCAAATGTATGGAAGTGACTATGATGCAGATGAAGAAGTTGAGAATGACAAAGAAAGTGTTGGTCATGCATCAAGCAATGATGATACTGAAATTGATTCAGAAGCCATTCAAGTACTTGCTGATGGTGATGACGAAGATATAATTGAACTACCTCAAAAGAAGCGCATGACAGATAATTATGTTGAAGTCATTGAAGCATCAAGGAACCAAAAAATGGCTTACTCTGGGATTAGAAATGCAATTCTAGGACAATCATGTGGTTAGTACTGGCATACAAAAATACTTGAAATGAAGTTTAACCATGATTACCTTTCTTGTCTCCAGGACTCATAGATTGGGATGGACACATACGCAATTTAAGGATAATTGAAGATACTGATTGTACAGCTCTGTCTGACAAATTTTTGGGACACCTCCTTCCCAGCTACAGCTCTATGCAGCACAGCATGCAGTCTAAACGGGGGTCATGTCTAACATTTGTCATCGATATATTCATTGATGCATGTCAGATATTCAACAACTCAAGTGCTCCGAGTGCAACTCCAATATTAGCTTGCCTGATATGTGCAGATGGTCATGTCATCCCTTCAAAGAAGGCAAAGCCATTTGTCATTGGTGTATTCCATGGAGAGGGAAAACCACACCTGGAGGCTTTTTTATTTGACCTCATAAAAGAACTAAATGCACTGAACCCAAGGGTAGAAGAGTTTGGGAAAGATACGCATGTTGCTGTTTGAGCTTTAATCTGTGATGCTGTGGGTCATTTCTGGGTGAAAGGAACAACATCAAATGCAGGATATTTTTGCTGTGAACAATGTATCTTGAAGTAAGTTTTGGCAAACATTTTCTAAATACTTGTGTGTACTTGAATTTAATATTTATAATTTGATTCACGTTCCCAAACGTGACATAACTTTTTCACCTTAAAAAAATGTAATCTAAAACATATAATACCATAGACCTGCGCCAGTCAATACATTGCTGTACATTTGGCGCAGTTGTTATGGCTGTGGGCTCCGAGTTGTGGGGTCACGGTTCAATTCCCTGCTGGGCGGGTTGCTTGTTAATTCATGTCTTTCCTTGAGTGTACATGTGTGTGTGTGTGTGTGTGTGTGCGTTTGTATATGTGTGTATCTATCTGCCTGTGCTGTCAAATGCAAGTGTGTGCGAGTGTCCTGTGTGCGTTTGAAGCTATCCATTGCAATTACCCCAAATTCAAAATTTTTAAATTTTTCAAATTCTTGTTTGACGTTTGGGAACGTCAAATAAGGTCAAACTTATTTGACGTTTGGGCACGTCAAATAAGAATAAAAACTTGTTTGACATTTGGAAACGTCAAATAAGATTCAAAACTTGATTGACATTTGAGCACGTCAAATAAGATTAAAAACTTGTTTTACGTTTGGGCACGTCAAATAAGATTAAAAACTTGTTTGACGTATGGAAACGTCAAATAAGATTTAAAACTTGATTGACGTTTGGGCACGTCAAATAAAATTAAAAACTTGTTTGACGTTTGGAAACGTCAAATAAGATTGAAAACTTGTTTGACATTTGGGCTCTTCAAATAAGATTAAAAAGCTATTTGACATTTGGGCACGTCAAATAAGATTAAAAAGTTATTTGACGTTTGGAAATGTCAAATAAGATCAAAAACTTATTTGACGGTTGGGCACGTCAAGTAAGATTAAAAACTTGTTTGACATTTGGAAACGTCAAATAAGTTCAAAAACTTGTTTGATGTTTGGAAACGTCAAATAAGATCAAAAACTTGTTTGACGTTTGGGCATGTCAAATATGATCAAAAACTTGTTTGACTTTTGGGAACGTCAAATAAGTTTTTGATCTTATTTGACGTTCCCAAATGTCAAATGCACTTTTTTTTAATCTGTTCTACACACTTCATCCACTCCATTTCAATACCATTCCCTATTCAAAACAATAATTTACAATCATTCATTACTTTCATGCTCTTTTCCTATTCACTCTCAATGACGCATCATTGACGCGTCAGAAATTGACGCGAGTTTACCAACATCAAGTCAATGCCCAGATGCGTGCATCAAATTCAGCATCAATATGCTGATACACCAGGCATGAATATTGACGCAGGTAAATTTAAACTTTTTAGAAGTGTCATCAACACAATTCTTGACGTTGTTTGGTTTTCCTGGGTTTTCAGCCGAGATTCAAAGCAAGACAAATAAGATTAGTTAGTCAGATGTACGCAAACCAAAAAATAATCAGATGCAAAATATCACACAGAATATGTGACAAAATATTAATCTTTTGATTCTTTGAATGAGGAAAATAAAAGCAAGTGAATTGTTCAAATTCAAAAGGAGCAGTCATATTTTTGTCTGGCCAAAACATCCTTCTGCATAGGTCATGAATTGATGATTTAGCTTCATTTGATGCAGCTTCATGTTTCTTTATCTTCCACTGTGATTCTTCCATCATCAATGTATTCCTCACTGCAATCATGAAGAGTTCATGATCATCCAGTCAAATTGACAATCCTTGGGCTGCTTGGGCAACATAGATAACTTGGGCAGTGTCATGCCCAATGACTTCCTTCCAACATATGGATTCCAGGTTGTCCAGATTCTTTTTCACATCAAAGATTGACTTCAGCCTCCTCTCCATATGATCACTTTGTGCCTGTTTGGAGGCACAAGGAGCCACTTTTTGGGGATACAGCCCCAAGTCAACCAGCTCATAGTCCCACTCCTTCTCTTTGTAGAAGGCATCCACTTTCAACAGCCTCAAGAACAAGGCAACCGTTGGCTTGAAGTGTGCTTCCTACACTTGACGATACATATGGCATCCCCTATCCATTGCATCACATTGTTCATTGGTACATTCAAGGATCTCCTTATTATCTGATGGAGTGTACTTGAAGATGTCAGCATCATACGGTCCTTTCAAAGTGTGTTCATTAAGGGTGATTCTCAAACCATCAAGTTGTTTTCTCTGTTCATCTGGCAATTTGTCACCACTTGCTTGCAGCCCAAGCAAGAATGGCACAACTTGGTTGGCAATCAAGTTTTTCTCATCAACCAATGCCAGAAGTGACATTGGTTCCACCATGTTCAGTCCTGCAGCATCATTTTGAAGTGCATTCTCATCTGTAAGTAGATAAGTTGATGAATAATAATATGATAAGTTGATGTAAGTAGATAAGTTGAAGACATAGTGATGGGCAATCATGTTATGGAAATGTAAAAATATTAATAACGATTAAAATGAAGCCTTGTATTAAGCACATTGTTGGTATATTCATGTGCATATAATGAATATGCATAATTTTCAGATTAAAAAAGATTATAAGTCACGTTTGGGAAAGTGACTCAAATTTTGGGAAAGTTTGACTTCAAGTTTTGAAACTATTTATTATTTACGTGATATTGTATGACCTGAAAACATTCAAGTACTTCACAGTTGGGAACGTGAACTAAGATGAGAAACTTACGTCACATTTGGGAAGGTGAAGTGAGATTACACTTGATGTTCCCAAACGTCATGTTCAGTTTTTTTATCCTTTCTCCACACTTCCTTCACTACATTTCACTTATAGTACTACCATTTACTATTAAGACCCATCTTTTGCCATCAATTCTTGTTTCCTTCACTTTTCTTATCCTCACTCAAAGATGCATCATTGACACGTCAGAAAAGAAATTGATGCAAGTTTTTCAGTGTCAAGTCAACACCCAGATGCGCGCGTCAAATTCAGAGTCAATCTGCTGGTACACCAGCCATGAATATAGTTGCATGTAAATATACATTTTATGGACACATCTTTGACGCTATTCTTGATGGTACAGTGGTGCCTTGCCATACAACTGTGCCACCCAATGATGGATCCGCCAAACAACCATTCAAAACCCTGAAAAAGTGTCCCACCCAATGACCATTGTCCTGCCGAGTGACCATTTGTTGCTAGGCAGGTAGCTTGGATTTTGGCTTGAAAAAATTTTTTTCTTCCCCAAACATCTACTAACCTATTTTTTACATTCTTCCAGAGAATTAAGAGAAAGATAATACAGTACTATAGTAAAATTGAGGATGGCACCAACGAATGGCAAAAAACAGGAGAAATCTTTCATCCATTTGGAAATTCATTATCTTTTTTTCTCACTCGATTCTCTGAAAAAATGTACAAAATAAGTTAGCAATCCAATTTCTGGCACACAAAATTGCACATCAAAAATGGAGTTGTCAGCTTAGCAAACGTTTTCTGGCCTTCCCTTGAACTAATAAGTAGAAAAGGAAAAACAAAACAACAAAATACAACAACAAACAAACAAAGGAAAAACAAAATTATGCTGTTCTTTCTTCCTCTCAACAAAAATGGTTCTTTATGAAGCATTTTTGTTGAGGGAAAGTGAGAAGCACAGAAGAAAATTTCAATTGGTGATATCCTAGGCCTAGAATTTCTTAAATTGATAGCAATTGTACTTCATGCAAAAGTGACATCTGTGCAGCATTACACAGGAGGCTCAACTCCTGCTTCACCCATAGATGTCACATATGCATGAAGTACAATTGCTATTAATTTTCTGGGTTATTTTTGAAAGACACCACAGGAATTTAGTAAGGAAAAGCATTTGAATGAACTGTAGCAGTGTTTATAGGGATCTGTGCTTTGTGATTTGAAAATTTAGGCAAATTCTTACATTTTTCCTTCAAAAATTTTTTTCCAGGAACCAATTAAAGTGATTCCCCTCATACCTCAAGAGAAAAAGTGTTCCACCGTATGACTGTTTCCCCCAACAACCACTGCATGGGAACAAATTATGAATTGGGTGAGGCACCACTGTATTTGGTTTTCCTGGGCCATAAATAACCTGATATGTTAATTGCCAAGTTTTACATATTTAATGGGTACATAAGAGATCCAACATCCATCCCGCATGCAGCCAAATTTTGGCGTATTGAAGATGCCCCAAAAATTTTTCTGAGAAGAAAAAGCTTGACTTGAGAAACACTGATTTTTTCCCTCACTTTAATTAGATCCAATACTGTAACTTGTATACTCACGACTTCATGGAAACAAAGAAGATTTGATGAACGTCCCTGCTTCGTCTGCAAGTTCCTGTTCTCACTCCATTCTCTCATTTATGAAGCACAAACAGCACATTTCAACACTGAAATATTCACAGTCAAGCCAACACCACTAAAATATGTACACAACACTAAAATATGTACACTAAGAAAATTGATTAACACTTCCGCTCCCTCAAGAAAATTTCATTTTCTCAATTACATCACGAAAATTGAGAACTGCACAATCAGCGCGCTGAAAACACAAAATCCCATTAGCGTTTCCATTTGAAGTAAATTTCATTTCTAAATTTGAATCAAAGGCAGGTATTTCATTTCTTAAGATTGCAGTACAGTAATATCCCACAGCCACAGCGCAAAACTTTCATACAAGTATTGCGAAGATAACTGAATGAAAAAGTGGGAATTTGTAAAATAAACTCTTTTGCTAATATCTCAAGAAAAACACTCGCAAAACACCAACAAAAGTGGCGTATACTCAAACTTCATCACCCATGCACAAAGCACTATCTCACTAATCATCCAATCCCTCCAACTTCCATTGGGCTTTTATAACATACTACATTTTCAATAACACCCTTTCAAAGCCAAAAGAAAAAGTTTGATTTGATGAACAGCATTAAAAAAAAAGTTCTGAAGCTAAAAAGCGCGAAAAAAATATTGCGATTTTTCTCATGTTCATTTCCACATGTTGCCTCATCTGTGAGGATTTCAAATCACTAATTAAAGCTGACGAAATTTGGTACATCATTCAAATATCTTTGTTTGATCTCACGTACTTAAAATGCTTACCACAAAACCAAAATAGTCGTGAAATAATTGCACGAAAACAATGCTGTACTTGAAAAAAATTCTAAGACATACTTCGAGATATATTTTTTGGATCATTGAAAAAAATCCTTCAACTTGATTAAAACGACGCTAAAACGCATGAGTCGAATTTTTGTTCCCAAAATGATCGTTCGTTCACCGATCATCATTGCGAAATACAGTAATGGAATTCAAACTTCAATGTAGTAGTTCAAAGATTTCTACCAAGATAATCTTGGAGAAATAATTTTCGAATCCTTCAAAAAAACAATTCCTTCAATTATAATGACGCTGAAACGCATGAATCCAACTTTCATTCCCAATATGATCGTTTTTTTTTTACCAATAATCTATATAAGCCAAAATAAACGCGGAAATTTTAGTTTTATTCAACGTATTTCACACACCGAGAAATGTTTAAATCATTTCTAGGAAACAAATTTAACTCACTCATAAAAACGTTGAAACGCATGAATCGAACTTTTTGAAGTCTTATCCGCATACCAATCATGAATGGAAAACCAAAATAATCGCGGGAACTTCAGAACTATTCAACGTATTGAACCCTTTGAAAAACACAAATTTAAATCCTCTAAAAAAAAAAGTATTCACTTCCATCATGACGAAGCTGAAACGCATGAATCCAACTTTTGTTACCAAAAAACATCGTTCGATTAACCATCAACATCGTTCGAAAGCCAAAATAAACGTTGAACTTCAGTACGGTACTATTTTAAGTATTTCATCATTGACCAGGTCATTCAAACCCCTATCACACACATAAAAAAAGAAGAACGTTCTCGCTGAACCCAGAATAAACACTCGCATCTTCACAAAATTGCCAAAACACGACTAGATCAAAATTCACACCCACGCCAAATAAATAAATTTTTTTTTAAATGTGTAGCATCAAAGATTGAATTACCACGCAGCTGATGAAATCAGCAAGTATGCTCAAGCGAGGTCGTCGTCACCATCGCCTTCGCAGAGCGACTGACTGTCCAGCATGTCGTCATTGGAATAGTGCCGGGTGAACTGCGAGCCGTTATTGCCGAAACCGTTGGAGCCCTGCTGCTGCTGATGGTCCACGTCTCGTTCCGAGGAATACGGATAAGAAGAAACGAGACTTTCGATGCGTAGAAATTTCGAGAACCTTCGCGACAAAAAGTCGTCTTCTGCCGCGGGTTCTTCGGCCTTCCCGGCAGAATAACTTCCGCCCCTCAACTTCACCAACTGGTCGTACATGTCAACGATGTCGTTTAGAAGCACGGTTTCGGTTTGATGCCTGTGTCAGAAGATTTTCGCGTGAAAGAAAGAGTTGAACAGATAAAATTAATGACCAAGAAAATTTGTGTAATTGGTGTTTGGACGGTGTCCTCAAAGCGTCGGATCATTTTTCTCCGCTGACTTCAATGGGAACATTAAATTAATTGGTTCTTCTGTTTATCAAATACATTAGTAGGAAAAATGCCCCCATAATATTGAAAATGTGCTTGCTCAACTTCAAGATCCAGAAAATTACCGCGCAGAAGGAAACCAAACAAAATTTGATCTTTTGGCATGTAATGAAGCTCAAATAGCCAAGAACAAGCACATGTCCTGTTGGCTCCATGATGAAATCCGGCAGGAGAATAAAATCCCATGGCCCAAAAATCCCGTGAGGTCAACAATCCTGTAGGCCTAAAAATCAAACCGGGTCCAAAAATCCCTTGTACAGTACTAAAAAATTATAACATTATATCTCTGGGTTTCCCATGGCACTGTCTGGAAGGAATGAAAATCTGGTGGATTATGAAATTATCCAAGTACCAGGGTTTGAATTCCTTCCAAGAGTTTGGGAGGTTCAAGAATTACATTTCTCAATAGAACCTCACCTTCACTTTATCACCTTTCCCAAGAGAAAGGTGAGAAAGCCTGAGGAAGATGTCACCTTCATCCCTGCATTAGTTTTGGATATAAACTGTACTTTTCCAATGATTCGCACAGCTTAACGTTGCCTTCTGGAGCAATAAGCATCGATTTCGGTGGAAATCTTGTACAGTAGTTGAAAACCAGGTAAGTTTTTATGAGTGTTTATTATTTCCATCAACATATACTGTGCGCGAAATTTATTTGGCGGCAAAGGGCGCCGCCGCGAAACAAGGGGAGAAGCTGTAACTCGAAATTTAATCGGCTATTGAAAAAAAACAAGAGCTTGAGAGAAAAAAATTGATCTCCCAGAACCCGGGCAATCGGAGCTGTCTTGCAAAAAATCCTGAAAAGGAAAAGAGGACCCAAAAAATCCCCAGAACCAGGGCAATACGAGCCCACTGTAAAATTCGGCATCCTCCCAAAGAGAAATAAAATTATTCCTTTTCAGCAAAAACATTTTAGCACTAAAAGACGAAATAAAATACTGCCAGCTGCTAGCAAAGTCACCAAAAAGTATCCTCTTTCAAGAAAACCTATTTGTCACCCGATTCCCCAACAACATCGAGCTGTCAGAAAATCGGGGACTTCTTCAGAAAACTGATCCTCTGGGGGTGATACTTTGACGTCGTGAAATCACTGTCGAACTAATATAAACCTACACCTGGTGCCGGGAAAAACATGTTCAAAGATTCAAAATTCGGAAAACAGCACTAAAACTTCCTTGTTAAGGTAATAAAATCGCACCCGACAAGGGGGAAAAAACCATGTTCGAAAACTTCAAAACAGCAGCTGCCACCACCTGGTATTTTTCAAACGGAAAATCCCAGCATCTGGGTGTTATTTTTCTGAGAAAACCCTGCCAAAAGGGGAGGAAAAAATTGCATAAAGCCCCGAAAGTTTTTGCGCAACAGACACAGTCTATATTCAAAAGCCAATAGGCCTTTTACGCATATGTCAAAATTTGTAATTTGCGGACTTGTTTGAAATCTGCAACGTTTGCGGACTTAACCAAATTCAGGAATTGTGTGGACTTGTACAAAATTCGGAATCTGCGCGAACTTGTGAAAATTGACAGTAGTATTGTGTAACCTTGACTCTAAATTCTGAAACCCTCCTTTTTTAATTCTTCTATTTTTGAGATTCCTGAATTTGTTCTCAGTTTGAAACGCTCTATAGCGTCTTAGTCTTCTTCTGTTTCCCATACTTGAGAAAAAACTTGGTGTAAATATTATTTTTTCCATTTTCTGAAACTTCTGCTGCTAAAATTTTCCAAACTCTAACCAAAGAGAATTTACGCAAATCTATTCATTTTTGGATCTTGTCAAACCTTTTGGGAATGCTTGTTGTGTGTGTATTGTGTATGCCAAAAAAAAATTCTGAGCCCAGTTCTGGGAATACTCAAATTCTGATTTCTGCGAAAAATTGGAAGTGTATATTATTGTTACACTTATATCAAATTGTGAAGAAAAAGAAAAGGTCAGTGCAAGTGGGGAAAAAATCCCCGGCCAGTTCACGCACCAGCCAAGTACTGTGTTTTAATTCTGCTCCTGATCAATCAGTCAGCCGAAAGTTTATTTCAGCAAATTAAAAAAAAAAATCTCTACAAGGTGTAAGGCTTGTAAAATCTGACACTCTTAAATAAAACCTTACATACTGTACATGGAATATCAAGTTGAAAATGAAATATCCCAATCAAACTGCATTTAGAATTTTTGTTAATTTAGAAATTGTTTACACACCATTGCCTCACGTGGTTATCGAAGCAGATTTTCCTGATGCAAGAATACTATGTTTTGGGGTTTTTGTACCAACCGGATTTATGGACCCAGGGAGATTTTTGGGCCTACCGGATTTTCTACCGCAGGAGATTTTTTCTCTCACGGGATTTTCTCCTGCACCCGGTCTTTTGGCATGCAATTGCGCTCAAAAATCCAAGAACATAAACATTTTGCGTTTTACTGTGCACATATGAAGAAAAAAAATCTGAAAGAAATACAGTACTGTAGTTTGTAATTCGAATCGGATTACGAAAAGCTGGGAAAATATTCCAAATTTCCAAAACCGGGGAAAACAACTTTTTGTAGGTTTCTTCTTTCGTTTCAAAATTTTCAAAATCCCTACTAAAATAAGAACGACGAGAAAATGACGATTTTATTGCATCGAAGTATTTTGCCCCCAGCTTTATCCCTTTTCAACCTTAGAATCGCGTTATGAAAAGCTGGGAAAATATCCCAAATTTCCTAAAGCTAGCTTCTTTGCAGGTTTCTGCTGTAGTTTCGAATCGTTTCAACATCCTAACTCAAATACGAATGAGAAGAAATTAATGATTTTTTTGTTGCGCAGCAGTTTTTATTTATTTTTTGGGCCCTTTAAAAATCATCGATTGAAGCGAAGCATGCAGGAATTTTATAAAAAGTTTCTTTGATTTTACATTACTTGTAAATGGGTTTTTTTTAGCACCCACCTGAAAGCATCTTCACCGCCGTATCGAATATGCGCAGCAGGCAACCATCGGAGATACAACTCGTTCCAGATCCTCAACTGACTCAATCTGTAGGTGGGATGAAGAGTGCGACTGCGAGGAGAATCCCACGACTCCAAACACACGCCCGCGGTCTTGGGTTCGCGGCCAATGCGTAAATCTCTGACGTAGTCGCTTCTCGTCGCCCAGGATTTCATATCGAGTTGGAGACGAGCAGCTTCTTCCAGGGCCTTGGCCAGGTTCCGTTCCCAGGTGAAAGAGTCCAGGTTATTGTTCGTCATGCTGAGGTCGCCGCGGAAGATGCGATTGAAAACGGCGGCGGCCAAATGCCCGCCCGGGATGCTTCGGGATTTACTCATCCGCTCTTCTCGGTCCATGGCTGGGGCTTCATTCCTCTGGCCGGTCCCGTTCTTCTTCCGCATGGGTACTATAAATTATGAACCGGAGAAAGAACGTTTGAGTAACTATACGCAAGGAAGGGTTGACACCATTCAGTCATTAAAAGAAAAGGTATACGAAAAAAATGGAAGAAGGAAAGGAAAACTTTTCGGATACAATTCCCACACGCCTCGCCTCAATCGATGAAATATGGAGAGCCAAAAAATACTTCGATGCAAAAAAACATTATTTCCTTGCCGTTTGTATTTTGGTTTGGATATTTCACCGTTCGGCGGCGAACGGTTCCTTTGAATCCTGCGGCGGGGACCAAACCAAAAGCCCCCCCCCCCCTCCCTCCATCTATTTCAAAATGTGGATGAGAGTTTCTCAACATCCATTTCTTTTTTTAGAAATATGAATAAGAGTTTCATACCACCCCATTTTTTACAAATACGAATGCGAGTTTCATAAATTGAGAGGGTTTTGGCAAGGGGGGCTTTTGGACGACAACCTCTGCAGCCAAGTTCATCTTCGGATAACAAGCAAAAAGGCTTGCCTAATGACTTATTTCAAATTTAAACCCCCTATGGCCTATTGTGCCTTGCAGTGACATCTACCCAAAATAGAAAACATTGTCACTGTCATGGCAAAGTTGAGTCTATTCAACCAATGCAGCGAACTTGAATAAAAATATATCTGATACAAAAGAGCGTTTCCTCATCAGCAATTCCGTACCTTGGGGACAAGCATCGTCGGAATCCGCATTGTCAGCGATCCATTTCCATTTCTGCAAATATCTCTTCAATTGCGTCCTCGGACTGTCGAAGATGTTCACGTGGTGCGGTTCATATTGCATTTCCCAGGACCACACACTTCGTGGTGTCAGACGATCCACATCTGCCTGTAAATTCTTTGAATACATTTCTTTTTCACAATCAGCTTTATTAATCCTGACGACTCCGAATTGACGAACAAAACTGACGACATTTTTCGTACTTCATCAAGTAAGAAAGGTTTTGGTACAAAATGATCAAGATGTAGATGAATCCCACCGAAATTTCTTTCAAGAATTCATGAAATCAAATCAGTTCAGAACAGCATTTAAAATTCAGTTACTCTGGGTTTGGGTTTTCTGAATCGTAAATTGAAACATCGCTTTGAATTAACCTTCGATAATGAATGAAATTTCAATTCGAGATAATTTTCCCTATTCTCTCGGGGATTTTTTTTTTTTCAACTCAGCAAAACGATGACTCGATATTCAAGAACTTCGGAAGTAATCTTGGATCTCATTCATAGCATGGTACATTTCTAGCGCTTCAAATTGCAGATTTGAGAGTTCATCAGAAAAACTACTGAGTATATAGACGTACAGTGAATGGAATATGAAGTACAGGTATTGTAATGTACTGTACTCAGCTTTTTCGTCCTGGCTTAAAACAACAAATTATTCAAGATTCTCAATTTTTCCTAGAAAATGTCGTTCAACTGATTCCGTGAGGGCGAAGCAATAATTCAAGTTATTTAACATTTCTTAGGGTGAACTTCGAATCAATCTTCTTAAGCGCAGAGAGTATACGCGCGCCCAGAATTTATTATTATTTTCGGCAGATTAACTTATTACCGTACAGTATCTTACAATGAAGAATCCGATGTCTCGATAGTTTCTTTTTCAATTATTACCTGGAACGCAGTTTCCCGGTCTTTGACGCAGTCAAACAAAAATGTATCAAATATCGAAACGTGCAAGGAATCCCAAATCGCCGTCAGGAATGTCTGGGTGAATTCGAATTCTTTCGGATACTGCCAAAGAATTTGCCAGACGCAGTCCAAGAACACCAGGAAAACTGGACTCTGAGAATAAAAAAGGAAAGAAAAATGAATCCGCGTACGCATTTTGATAAACAGTATAAATAAAAAGGAAATAATCCATGCTTTCATTTAAATGGTTCAGCTACCCTCGAGAAAAACAATTTCCCATAAAATGGCACCTCACTTAATTCAACTTGGAAAAAAGAACTCGTCCAGATATCGCAGATATGAAAATATATTAAAATCAGGATAAATAAAAACGCACTTGGCGGGAGTGCTCAGAGCGGAAATTAGTCGCCGTAGGGACGACGGACGGAGTCTGATTCGACTGCACCGCCCCACTGGCATTCGGACTAAACGCCGTGATCCCACCGGTGATGGACGCCGACGCAGCAGACGACGACGACGACGTCGACATCATCATCGCCGTCGTCGACGAAGACGACGTCGAGGAACCCGAGTCCACGGGTGTCCCGGGTCCGTGCGAACAAGACACCAGTCTCGCAAACCGACTACAGAACGGGTGGCCCAAAGTGACCCATTCTTTCTGGACCAGTTCCTGGAAGCCGATCCGGGTTCTAAACGACGGGTCAGCCAAGATTTGCACCAGGCTGCTCACCAGGAGGCACGTGTCTCGACCATCTCCTTCTGTACAGGGCGAAAGTCATTCGGAAATGCTTCTATGAGATGTTTCTATCTTTTCGACTACTTTTGGTTTTTAGGTTCTCTCACGAATAAAAGTGACCCCGAGATGCGGACGTAATTGGTGCATCAAGAGTGTCCCCAAGTCGAAATGTCCCTAAGTCAAGTCTCATTCTCCCTTACACTTACATTATATAATTTTTTAATGGTGTGCTAAAAAAATACTCACCATACTTCCATGAAAATAAAAATTGTCTTCCAATTTAAACTGATTCCAATCAATATATTTCAACACAATATGGGCATTTGGGGATTTGGCTACTGATACCTCTGTACAGTACACAGAAAAGTTGGCTGTAAAAATAATATTCAAGTGTAAAAGAGAGAAGGAAGTCCCTCTCTGCTGGAGGTAATTTTTAAAATTAGCTAAATGGATGGTAAATTTGTGAGAGAAATGCCCAAGAACTTTCCTTACATCAATTTTAGGGCTGGAAATATCTGTTTCTTATAATTTGGCCTGAAATGTATTTGCAATTTTATAACAAAATGTCCCTATGTTGAGTCAGTGTCCTCAAAGCCATTTTTGTAAATTTTTTATGATAAAATAAGTGTCCCTATGTCGAATTGTCTGCAGGTTGAGGTATCCGCATGTGGGGGTCTCACTTTACGAAAATGTAAACAAAACAAAAATACTTCACGCATACACCTACACTCAAAAAATGTAAACCAGACAAATTCAATCTTTTAGCGCGATATCATAAGCAATACATCAGGTTCAAATAAAAATTAGACTACAGTTGAACCTCTCTAAATCAACTTCAAGAGACCATAAAGAAAATTTCAACCTACGGAAACAGATGTATTTTCTTCAGACGAATGAAATAAGATTTCCAGGAAATCGTGAGTAGTAATATTCTGGGCCTTGAAATGCTTCATGAATGAGTTGACAGGATGCTGAACTTGGATCCAGGGATTCATTTGACCATTTAATCTTTCACTTCCTTTCAAAACCTATCAACTTACATTTGTATCGTTCTTCTCTTTCCTGTCATCCTGTGCCAACAAAATGATAGTCAAAAGGCATCCAGAAAATTCGATTCACGGAGGTTTGAGGGGGGAATGCCTTCGAATAAGGGAGCTTTTAAATGCATTGTTTACAAGGAAACCAGGACTTGAAAAAAACCGACATGGAACGGAATTCGAATCATCGAGGTTAAACAAAAAAAATCCATGTAGAATTATGCATGCTTCACCTTGCAGTAGCACTGTGCGATTTTCAACGCACATCAGCCTGACAATTCGACACGCTTCCCGCAAAAATCTCGACACGTAATGAAGCCATTGACTCGCATTCATGTCAGCCAGGTACCTGTTGTCGCCCTCTTCGAATTCAGCCATCGAACCTATACAAACCATGAACATCATCAGTAACGTTTTCTCCGAAACCAAAATCTCCCGAATTATCTCGTCTGTGAAGAGATCATGGAGTAATTTGAGCATGTTTTGAACGGGGCGCAGACGAAACAGCAGATAAAGGCAGAAAACAGCGATTGTAGATAGCACAAAAGCAAAGAAGTTCCTCAGCGTCACGACATTGATGAAGTACGGTGAAATTAATACAGCACTCCACAGATTCTTCCGATGAAAGGTACATATCTTGAGGAATATGAAGCTCAAAAAGAATACAATTAGCAGCAAATTTCCATCGCCGAATAAAGCAAGAATTGTCTGCCGCTGCTCGAGGACTCATTAAAAAAAAAATAAGGCAACACACTTTCAAATTTGCTGTTCAGACACGCGCTCGATTTTCCCGATATCAACGAGTTCAATGCAGCAGTACTCACAAGGCACGTGAACGCTTCTCCATTTTACGTAGGCATCTTGAAGCTCCGCACATGAAGGCAACACTTCATCCAAATCGATCACTTCAACTGAAGTTTTATCCGCCTTAGGATGACTCAGGCGGATGAAATTTTTCATCGCACTGTCGAAGGCGCTGGAAATTCGAAATCAAATGTCCTTGAATCTCAAACACTCTTGTCTGCACGACTCTCAGAAAACAAAAACAAATATCTCAACACAAGGAAAGACTTATTTCGTCGACATTTGTAATTCCGACGAAATCCAGCATGAAGAAAAGGTCAACGAACGAACAAAAAACCGAGAACAGGTGGATGACATTTTCATTCATTTAAATTGAAAAGTTGAGCCTCTCTGAGTAGAATTCCAAGGGACGAGCAAAAAATTCGAGTTAGGGAGGTTTCGAGCTGGGAGAACAAGCATTTTTGTTCTGGGAAAGATTAGAAGAATAGCAAGAAATTGTAAAATGTTGGCATTCTGGACCTCAAATTGCTTCTTAAGTGAGTTGACTAGAAGGAAAGGGTTCGTTTGCCAAATTCTTCTTTCACTTCCCTGCAGAAATCAAAAACCAACAAACTTTTTTCTTCATCTTTTCTGTGTCAAGAAAATCATGCCCAAAAAACCTTAACAAATTCAAGTGACAAAAAACGACTTCGGGAGATTCGGGTTATCAAAACTAAATAAGGAAAAATTTGGCGAAAATTAATGCGAGCAACACGCGCACCTTTATTTTATGGGGCGAAAAGTCGAGAAAAAGTTCGAGTGAACCCCCCATGAAACGGTACCTGTTCTCAAATGCGGGCTTCGCAGAGTGAACCAGAGCAGCTCCATCGGGGGTACCCCACACCCAAACCGGAAGACGATTCTTATTGTAATGCGGGGCAGCGTAGGAGAGATCAATGTCGGGACAGCTCTGCGGCACGATCAGGTACTTGGGCAAGGAGTAACACACTTGGAAGTGCTCGTTCACGTAAGACACTCGCCAACCCGTGGACTTGGTCCTTCGCATCTCCTGATGCCAGTCGCCCACTTCGTAAAAGGTTCTCGTGCGTTCAACAGATGGCACCGCCTTCAGTTTGCAGTCGAACGCGAACATGAGCTCGATGCGTTGCGGGAATCCGTGGCGGAGAAGCGCGTTCGTCACTTTCTTGATGTCGCCCAGCGAGCAGAACTTGAATCCGAAAGTCACTACACGGAAGTCCTACGTGTTAAACAAAAAAAAGAAGCGTTTCCGGAAGTCAGTGCAGTGAAATCTCATCATAACAAATGAACAAAAATTCAGTATAAAAGTCCTGGGAAAAAACCAATAAGGTAATTGTTAAACAGTGTTTCCCGACCTTTTTGGGCCCGTGGATCAGAAAATTTCCATAATTTTTTTTTTACAGATCAGACAATTTTCAAAATATTTTCTGTGAACCAGCAAAATTTCATAAAATTTCTGCAGAAAGAGGTCTTTTCAAACAGAACAGGAAGAAAATACATGATGCACAATTTAATACAGCCAACATGAATTTCAAGGGAAACACAGGTTGATTCAATCACAAGGAGCAAATCCCACTGCCTATTATTTTCTAGAATCCGAAACGCAAATTTCTAAATAGCAAAAACACTTACAGAAAAATTCAAGTCTCTTCTTTTGGGGCAAAGTAACCTTCCGGCCAAAGATTTTTGTGTGAATGACAAGAGTCTGTGAGCAATCCTATCGATTGGCGCCAAACCCTTTGCAATTTAATACCCTTCGTGTTGTTGCCAACAGGGCGGCTTTTGGCAAAGGGAGTCTGGAAAAATCCCAGCTGAAATACGCGCGGGGGAAAAAAAAAAAAGTCCGAAGATGGGGATAGCTGCAAGGTCAGGAAAACACCATCTGGGCGTGATTCATCCCTTGCAGCTGCAAGGGGTGTCACCCGAAGTGCAAAAAGAAGGAGCCACCATTTGTCTCCAAGGCGCTTTCTGGAGGGTATCAAATTTCAAGCACAGTATACACAAATCAACCGGGAAATCCTTTTTTGGGTTTCCAAGACTTGGGGTTATTTTTGCAAGACATCAAGTGAATTAAATATTTATATAGGCAGAGGTGCACTTATTTGCTGACCTATATAAATATTCATATGGGTCTGCAAAAGCTGTGATTTTTAGCATTTATAAAAATAAACAATAACCCTGTTCCCGATTTTCACAGTCCTGAACCAATGAAGTAACTATAATGAAATGTCTTCAAAAATTTGAAAAGCTGGTCTTGTAAAAACAGTTTCTCAGAAGAAAAAATCAAATAATTCCTTTCAACAGGTGGAAATTTGTTCGAATTGTTATCAGGAGAAAAGCAAACTTCTATTTTCATCATATAATTTCATCTGCCATGGTCTTTCAAAAATTTCAGATAAAGACTTCATTGCTAATTTTAATACATTTATTAAGCTAAAGAATATTTCTTCACAGAAGAACAAAAAACGTCTGTGTACTGGCACCAGTCCGCAGACCAAAGGTTGGGGAATGCTGTGTTAGAACAATATTGTTACTGTAGAACAAACTTCCCAATTCCAGCATACTTTTTCGAGGAATGCTTAACGGATTCTCCAGGCAAAAATTTCCTGACAAAGGCATGCACAGTCTGAAAATTTCTGATCGCAAATGTGACAGACTTTTAGGATGGATGGAAGCAGTTATCAGTGAAAAACATGCTTCCATCTGGTCCCATGCAGCATCTTCCCATAATTGGATCGGTGCAACTGATGGAATGCATGATAGGAGCTAATTTTTTTGTAAGATCACTCAGTTTTTCAAATAATAATTTTAAAAATCTGAGAACGCCAGGAAAGCAAAATCTAATTGCTCATGCATAGGCAGGTCTGATTTAAAAATCGTTTTCAGTCATTAATTTTGTAAATCTCACCACAAAAAAAAATTGTTCCGTATGAAACACTTTTCTGAATTCCCAAAAAGTTTGTGATAACGAGGTTTTACTGTATCTTCAATAAAATACAGCACTAACCTTGCAATGCACCTCTAGCACATCGATTTTTGCAGTATCCGTCACCTGATTCGATAGTCGCCGTCGACGCCCGTCTTCTGACACCAAATACAAACTGTCGATGTTTGCGACGCATATTTCATTCGCTCGGAGCAACCGACTAACAATGGCGTCTCTTGAAACCTTCGTAAAGAAAATCCCCGCTAAAAAACTTGCCGTGTGTTTAAAAAAAATGTGAAAGAATGCAACCTCAGATTCTTGAGAAGCGTCCGTCGGGGCTTGGAAAGATAATTTGAATGTAGTAACGAACAACGTTCCAGACACGCCACTCTTGTTGTCCGACAACGGGAAATATTTCAGCACACCCGACGCTTCTGCTGCCAAAGTTTCACCTAGAAAATAGCAAAAACGGCTTAAAGAAGTACACATTTTGCTCTCTTAAATGTCGCTAATAATACTCAAACAGAAGATAAAGCCGAAACAGCTTCACTTACATAAAATAAATTCTATAAAACATACCTGTTCGAGTCAATAAGAAAACGTTCAACGAAGTCCACACATTTTAGAACAATTCGTTCTTATTTTCTTTATTTAATACTGTATTAACAATGTTTTGATATGGTAATAAAAATCTTTGGCTGCATTTAAAATTGAACTCACCATCTAAAAGTTCAGGATGCGGAGTGCTGACCGGGTTTCGAGGGGTTTGATTATCCAAATAACTTGACGACTGCGAATGAAAAAAAATATCAGGAAAAATATTTCCATGAACTTCAAAATGAAATACTCACACTGGAATTATCGTCAGCCTCACTGTGGGACTTGAGGGACCTTTCCTTTCCAGCTCCATCATCACTTCCTGTCATTTCCATTTTGAAAAAAACATTCCTGGAGAAGTGACAAACGTGGAAGCGATTATCACTTATTCAAAGGAATTTTCATTCATCATGGCACGCGTAATTTTTCAGAACCGGAAATACTAACTAGCGAATTTTACAATTTCTCCAAAAATATAACAAAAATACCGTAAAAGACGCAGGAAATTTTTTGAAATAGCTCTCTAAAAATAACGTCTAACGTAATAAATTCAAGAGCATCAATCCAATTAATTTTCAATACAATCAGATGTCTCATTTCAGTGTTCCCCAACCTTTTTGGACCAGGGGACTAACAAATATTCAGAAAACTTTTCGAGCCAAGGCAAGCTTCCCAGAAAAATTCTGCAGACTGGCATGGTTTCATAAAATTTTTTGAGGACTCAAGAAAATTTTAATTGGAAGACTTCATGACAGGTATTCTAAAAACTTCTGTTTATTGTGTTCAAAAATATAGCTAAGAACCAATGAAGCAGCTATAGTGGATTGTCTTCAAAAAATTAAAAATTTGGGCATGAAGAAAAGTTTCCAAAAATGAAAAATTTAAAGAATTCATTTCAGCAGGTGACAATTTTCCTGAAGCCTTCTTAGGAGAAAAGCCAACTTTTATTTTTTATCAGATAAAATCAACCGCCATTGTCTTTCCAAAATTTCCTATAAAGATAACATCCCTAATTGCTAATTTTGATAAATTTATTTACGCAAACAAAACTTTCACGCTTGCCAGCAAAAACTTCTGAGGTCTGGTGCTGGTCTGCAGACCATGGGTTGGGGTTTGGGGAACACTGTTGTATTAAACAGTATTTGTATGCAAACTTAATGATTATAATACAGTTCCAAAATATGACTAAAAAAACCTCATTTTAATTTTTAGTTGCTTCATAAAAAAAAAAGCTCAAGATCTCGATACTACCAGGAGGAGGCCATAAAAAATTATGTTAGAGCACCAAAAAACTTACATGGCTTTGTTATAACGAAGAATTCAGATTACATGCTGATAAAAATCTTCGATTCAAGTAGAAAAGGCATGAAATTATGTCTCAAATTCGCATCAAAATTGTTCCCATATTAGGAAAAGAAAAAAAATCAAGAGGTTCTTCCTCAATCGTGCAGATATTTTCATCTCGCATCTCTTTTTTTTTCGGTGAAACACGGTAAGCTAGAAAAAAACGTGCAGAATTTGGCCAACAGTTGACACCAGTTCACAAGCGGAACCACCATTTTATTGTGCTTTGGAGGGAGACTTTCGGGATAAATCCTTCAGAACCACAGGAATAATATTTGACGAGACTCACTACATCACAATACGTCTAATGAACATCGATACATAGAAGTATCAAATGTCTGCATCTAATTCGCGACATTTGCTGATGCGCGAAACATAATCGCACTTCCACCGGTTTTCTTCAAAGCCATATTTTTTCCGGCAGGAACAAAAAACACTTTTCCTGGGATCAATTCCACATCCTCTCCATCGCCGAAACTCAGAAACGCATGTTCGGCTTCAATCACGATCACAATACTTCCCACAGACATCGCGGGTAAGTCAACAGCATTCGTCTCAGAACTAGTACCACTTTTCAATTCGTACTTCATCACTTTGAAATCCGCGATAGGCGGAGTGTAATGCACCACAGTCACCGGGTTTAAATCAGTCGAAACGACTCCCCGAAAAAGTTTTTCCTCGGGAGAAGAGAATTTGTAAACGAGCATCTTGACGAGTGTGTCGACATCGATGAACTTCGGCGTCAGACCAGCTCGAACGACGTTATCCGAACAAGCCATACACTCGACGCAATCTGAAAAGAACAAGTGTATGCCTCACTGAACTTCAAAATTTCGTGACACAACCGTATGTAAGCGAACAAAATACATGATGCATGCCAGAATCTTTGACGCCTTCAAGTTATTTCTAATCCGAGATGAACAACGAAAATAACGAAAAATAGTTGTTTCAAGTTACAGTAAATCACCTTCTCTTGAGAGGAATGTCTTCTTATACGATCAAACCTATCTAATTTCAAGGGACCAGCAAAAAAATTCGAGTCAGGGAAACACGCATTTTTGTCGTAGGAAAGATTAGAAGAATTGCAGGAAATTTTAGATGGTGATATTCTGGGCCTCAAAATGGCTTCTGAATTGACAGAATGCCAAACTTGGAGGCAAAGGTTCATTTGCCCAATTCGCCTTTCACTTCCTTTCAAAACACATCAAGTTTCTCTTTTATTGCTTTTCTCTTTCCTGTGTCCAGAAAATAATCGCCAAAGGGCCTCAGATAATTCGAGTTACGCAGGTTTGAGAAGAAAATCCTTAGAGTTAAGGAGGTTTTTAACGCATTGTTTCCGAAGAAATTTAGACGGGAATTTGAAAAAAAAAATTAACTCAAAGAGGTGTTCGACTTCGGGAGGTTCGAGTTATCGGGGTTCAACCATATTCATGGAAAGCAAGCCTTACCACCACTAAGATAAGCATGAGGGTCATTAGCTCCAAGATAGATCGCGTCTCCGGGTTCCAATACGATCAAGTTGAACAAAAACATGGCGATCAATCCGACATCTTCTTTGAAATCTTCATGAATCGTTTTCCAGACTTCAGCCAGAACAGTCGAGTCTTTCAGACCGAGAGAATTCACAAAAGCTGTCGAATGTTGAAAAAAAATCTATGCTTTCACTAAATCATTCCGAAAAATGAAGACGAACCTTCGTCTTTTAGGCGTAGTGCGAGAGCATTTACGATACGGGCAACATCTTCCTTGGGTTGCTCCATAACACGACGAAAGGTTTCCTTCAACCCTTGAATACTTGCGTCACTATCGGATTTCAACAGCTCAAAATTTTCCTCGCCAACAGCTTCGCGAATTTCGGGAATAACTGAGAAGACAAATTCACAATTGAACATCGAAAAACAAATCTTAGTTACAGTATAGTCTTCGAGATTCTTGGGAACGAAAATGTAGCAAAAAATTGAGCACGCCGTCGATTGTGCTTGTATGAATGCAATAAGATTTTTCATCGCTATGCAGCTGAATTCATGTTGAAAACCTTTTGTTTAAAAGATACGAATTATTCTCAAAATTTGCAGCTAAAACTGCTCAGGAAACAACTGCGCAGCTGAACAACATTTAAAAAATCGGTAAAATTTCTCGTAAAATATTACTTCAATTTTACAGCACTTCACTTTCGTTCTCGCAAAATGATAGTCTCAAAATTTTAAGAAAAGAATGGAACGGACCTTGAAGAAGTTGCACAATCTCGGTGCGCGGTCGAAATCCGCACAAAGCGGTGAATTTTGTGAGAGCAATGGCCATCTCGGGCTTGTGGTTTGCATCTTTGTACAAATCCGGACGAGTTTTATGCAAAACATTCGCCAGATCCTGAACAAAGATGAGACAAAAGGCAATTTTCGAGATTAGAAAAATATAAAAATCACTCATTCCTAGTAAGTAATGCGTACATTGGCTGAGGAAATGAAAACGGCTTCACCTTTTACAAACAAGTTATTCATTATCACCATGAGGTATTTCTTCTGAAAAAATGTTACTAAAATTTGAATGATCAAGAGGAAGAAAAAACAAACGAGGTTGAACATGAATGATATAAAAGACGACCGCCTTTTCACTTGTAAGAAACGTATGCTAAAAAAGATCACCATATACAGTCAAACCTCGAAAGGGACCAGTGGAAAAATTCAAGTTGGGAAAACTAAAATTTTTTGGCGGGGGGGGGGGGGGGGGGGGGAAAAAAGGTTTAANGAGGGGGGGGGGGGGGGGGGGGTGGGGGGGGGGGGGGGGGGGAAGGAAAAAGATTCACAGGAAATTGCAATTGGTGATATATATGAATTCACAGGATGCTGAACTTGGAGAAAAGGGTTAATTTGCCCAAATAATCTTTGACTTCCTTTCCCAACGCATCAAGATTTATTTCTCGTACTTCTCTCTTACCAGTGTAAAAAAAAAAAAAAAATGATGTTTTCGAGGTTCAACTACCGATAATTCCATCCATGTTGCAGAGAATATTTTCTCTAGTCTCAAATATAAAATTAGAACACAAAATTTTCAATACAACCGCCAATTCCAAAAATTGCATCAACCTGAAAATATAGAACAAAATAAAAACTCGCCTTATCCGGATGCGCTTGGATGGACAACGCCTGTCGCACCGACAAAACCTTGAACAAGAAAGGCAAATCGTGCCCGAAAACAGCGATGGAATCTTCACCCAGAACTTCGGTATTGGCCCCAACGAAAGATTGCAAATCTTGGGACGAGCCACGGATGTAACTCATGCCATTCGGATGAGTTCCCATCCACAATTCTGCATACGGAGCTTCGGGATCAACAGGATCCACGCAACAGCCCTTTGCAAATTGGGCGACAACACTGTTCAAACCTATCTTGCCCCACGAATACTTTTGCAAAGAACACTCCAACTCCATTTTGAATTTGACCTGCTGTTAATAGAGAAGAAATTCCGATACAATTTATTCCAACGGTCGAAAAGCACTCGTGAATTCGGTCCGCAGAAACCCCCGCGACGGAAGAATTGGGCGCGTGCCGAAAACATGAGATAAAATGACAATTAGCACATCCAGAATTGCGTCTAATACGATAATCGAAAAATAAATAAACATTTTTTCGATGAAAAAAACATTGTTGTAGTTCGCGAGTACGTTGAATTCGCAAGCTTGAAGTTTTACTGGAATGAAGTACAGTATCTTTGTGAATATTACTCATAAAACGGAACAAATTTTCTTCGCCTCTGAATAATAAATATTTTCCTGATCACGTCATAATTCTGGAAAATCATTCTACTTTCTATCGTTTTCTCCTATTTTCAGATTTTCAGACATTTTACATTCGTCACGCGCTCAACCGTCCTTCCGATGTACGAAAAAAAAAAAAAAAGCTTGACACACTAATCCTGGAATTTCATGCATTCATGAACAGGGTTAGAGTATTTCTTTGAGTAAAACTGGAACGCAAAAACAACTTGGTCAAAATTAAGATTATTTTGTTTCCGAATTCACATCATTATTATTCGGAATATTCATAGAACTAGAAAAGATTCGCAAACTCGACTGATTTAGGATTACGTCAATGAATTTTGTGATTCAGTTTTTTCACCCAGTTGGATTCCTTCAAAATTTGTCACTCTCCACCTATTTTCTCAACAAATACTTGAATTAAAATTCTGAGGATGCGATTTCTTACAAAGCATTTTTTTGCACAAATTTTCAACGCTTCGAACCAAAGTGACGTTTAATTCATTTTCAACAAACCAATTGTTGTTCCTCTGTTCCTCACATTGCATGTCAACGAAATTCATACAAGTGTGAACTTATGCGCCGAATTCTTTATAGATCCACACAGAAAATTCCAGGCTTAGTTAATCACGCAGAAAAAATGGGGATTGCACGACAGGGGTAAAGAAAAATTATTGATTCACGGCTTAACCTGCATCATCCCATTACTTGAATAACATCACAGAATCGTGTTCTCCTTTTGAAAGATTGAAACAAATACGATCACTTCCATAGCTTGATAACACCATCTCGACTCGCAGTGGCGATCAAGTTCATGGTCTGCGGAGTGTTGACCACGACTACATCCGTGATACCATCGTTGTGTCCCGTGGTCGGCATGGAGTAGCAGTAAAATTTTTGCGGAGCACCGCTTTGCACATTGGATGATGATGATGATGATTTTTGCTCGTTTTTGGCGAGATTCTGTGCGGCAGACGAAGTGCTCATTGATGAAGCAGCGTCCGATGACATGGTTCCGGTTTGCTTGGAAGTCTTTGGTGAATTTGAAACGGCCAGTTGGTCTTCGGAAACATGCGGTGCGTCTACGGACTCCACGACAACCTCGCAACCTTCGATCAGCCTCGACCTGAAGTATTTCGAGAATGAAAGACAAACTGCATCACAGCAACGAGATACCAGTGGACTCTATTTATGAGGATTCCATTACAACGAATTATTTTTTGGTTCCATAGGGGTTCTCGACAACGGAATTCTCTCCACCATGCTTTTTTTGTCCCTTGATTTATTTTTTTTGTAGAGAGAGAGTCCACCTGTATTCATCCTTTGCAATAAGAGGAAAAATAATATTTGGTCGAGGAAACCCAAGAAACAAGAACAGCTTTTATGTATGTCTAAGATACAAATTTTTTGAGCGTTTACAGTACTGTGCAGTGAATTCCCACACAAAGAAAGACTCACCAACGAAAAATTCGCATTCGGAAAATGCTTAGGGGGACAAAACGTAACTAATAGTTCTAATACAACGAATTTTTTTTTACTGGAGAACACTCGAATTTCGGCAAGTTTTGGGGCTGAAACTTTGAAATATTTTCAGGTACTCATTTGAATTCCTAAGAAACAATGTTAAAAACGTCCCTAACTGAAAGGCTTTCCCTCTCAAACCTCCTGAACTCGAATTTCTTGGAGGCTTTTTGGCTATTATTTGATTGACACAAGAAAGAAGAAAGCAAGAAAAAGGCCTCCTTTTGCGTTTTGAAGGGAAGTGAAAGACTAATTCGGCAAATAAACCCTACCCCCCCCCCCCCCCCCCCCCCCCCAAAAACTNATTCGGCAAAAAACCCCCCCCCCCCCCCCCCCCCCCCCCCAAAAACTGCTCGTTTCCGTAAGTCAAAGTTTTCTGTTGGTCCCGTGAAGTTCGAGTTAAAGAGGTTCAACTGTACGAGAGTTCTAACAAAAGTTCTCGGAGTAGCAATGAAAATGGCATACAGTTGAGCTGAAAAAAATTTTTTCCTCCGGGAAAACATACTCTTTGGCACACAAAAAAGTATCAGCCTTGTTTGACAAATGCTTTTGCATTTTTTTCATAAATCACCCTGGCAGAGTTTTGCTCTCCACTCAAAACATGAGGCGCCCTTTTTTGTTGTAGCCCAGCTTTCCCTTCAGAATTTTTGAAATCAACTTGACGTTCTTTCTAAGGGTTGCCTCCAGGTCATCCAAGGCAATTTTTACAGTTGAGCTGAAAAATTTTGTATTTAGGGAAAACATATTCTTTGGCACACAAAAAAATATCAGCCCTGTTCGACGAATTTTTTTGAAATTTTTTCATGATGCAATCTGGCAGAGTTTTGCTCTCCACTCAAAAGATGAGGCGCCCTTTTTTGTTGTAGCCCAGCTAAACAGCCGCCTTCACAGCCACCACATTTGCCGCCACTTTGGCGGCTGTTGATGAAAACGGCGGAATTGACTTCGAAGATCTGGAGGCAACCCTTAGAAATAATGTCAAGTTGATTTCAAAAATTCTGAGGGGAAAGCTGGGCTACAACAAAAAAGGGCGCCTCATCTTTTGAGTGGAGAGCAAAACTCTGCCAGATTGCATCATGAAAAAATTTCAAAAAATTTCGTCGAACAGGGCTGATATTTTTTGTGTGCCAAAGAATATGTTTTCCCTAAATAAAAAATTTTTCAGCTCAACTGTGGGCCATTTTCATTGCTACTCCGAGAACTTTTGTTAGAACCCTCGTATATTCTCCTCGCGTCGAAAATATTCGAATGATGAAAACACTTCGCATTTCACTCAATATTATAATGCACTGCACGTAATGATACTTTTAAAGCGCAGCATATTATCCACTCACGAGTAATGGAAAGAGCTCGGGGACACGGCATCATTCCCCGCCACGCTGACCATACGCGACTTGCTGGAAAACTCCGTATTCCACAGCCTCAATCGCATGTCCGAGCTGCCCAAGAGCCACGAGAGTCCGTCACGCGTCGGGCTCATGCAAATGGCGCACACGGAATACTGCGTCATTTGCGTCGTCGACATCGGCGGCGTTGGACTCGCCCACAGCGTCATCTGTCTCGACTGCGTCTCAAAGTTCCACACGGCGACCTCGTTGTTGCCCTTGAACGAGGCGATGACTGAGCCCGAAGGATACCCCGACAACCGATCGACGGGATACGCCAAGAGTTTGCGAACACGGGATTTCCCGGGGTGTTGAATGGTTCCCGCCGGCAAGCTGAAGCGCAAGTCGTAGCACGTGATGACGCCTCCGGAAGTGCCGATGGCCATCCACTGTTGGCACGGTTCTACGCAAGCGCACGTGGAAACTCCTGGAAGACACGAAAACATTCTTCTTCTTCATTAATAGAAAAAAAATACAGAATTTCTCGCATTCGACGAATTTCGGGTTCTACGTGAGCAGTAGCGGTTTTTCCCCTGTATAGCTGAACGGGTTTCGAGATGGTAATGTAGGGCTTTTTCTACAAGTATTATGTGAGGCTGTAAAGCGGAATCTTCTACGAAAAAAGTACGTCATGGAAACGGTAAACAATACTTTTTTTGGATTCAGGTTAAAGCTGGCTGATGAACGAAGTGTAAGAAAGATTATACAGCATAAAAAATAATAAAGGTGAACGGGACGTTAAATGTGGAGCAAAAGTCAGTTTACGTGATTATTTCAAGCTACGGACATAGTTCTGAATAAAAGATGAAAATTTCAAGCCAAATGAAGATTTTGCTCATGCGACGGCAAAAATGCGGTTGCGTCTTGAAAGCTATATACAATCCAGAAAAGAATCTCCACCGTAGAAATTTTAAAAAGTTATTTCTTCCTGTATTTATGCTTTGACCTGTTCAAAAAAGGATAAAAGCCAACATAAAGGATTCAGCGGGATCTTCAGCGAAGTACAGTATTCGTTTGTGATTTAAAGAGAATTTTAATGAAATAGAGGTAACAATGACGGGCAAGACGGCACAGACTTCAAACCTTACATTATACTTGGAGTTGGCGACAGAATTGAGAAGCATAGTGAAATTAGAAATTTTAACCATTGAAAACTGAAAGATTTGCAAACCAGGCCCGACGTCACAGAGCAGTAACCTTCTTGCAAGCAGTGAACGAACTACCGCTGATCGTTCATGTGCGTGGGTTTTCCGGCAGCATCCTAATGAATCATTGGATGAAAATTTTTCGAGACATAAATGATTTATCTGGAGAAACTGACTCATCCTAACTTGAAAACCAAAACTTTTTTCGCAGTTCCCTCGGTAGTTCCCTCGGTCAAAAAAAAATTCGCATTCGTGAAAGATTTTTGAAACTAGCGAAGAGGTTGCTGTTTTCCCGCTGCGAAAAAGCAGCTCCAAAAATGTTTAGTTGCGGTTTTCGCACTGATCCGTCCATTTTTATTAAGCATCAACACGGATACTTGATAAAAATTTCTGATTTCTTTCTTATTATTTACAGAAGCTTCACAGGCAATTCATTGTGAACTCTGAGAACTTCTTCAGTGTTCTTTGCAATCGTCCGCAGTTTTACCAAACAAGTAGACGATGTTCAAGATTTTCTTGACGGAAGATTCATCCTTACCATTACAATAACCTCCTCTACGCTGAAGTACAGTAAATCCAACCTTCCCATTTAGATTCTGATCATGTTCGTTCACTGCTTCAACCGAGATGAAGAACAAGCCGCAAATATTTTTCGAAAGATTGTCCCTCGCCATGAAAAGATTACTTTTTGTGAAAAGGTTTAGAACCTTTCAACTTCACTATAGCTCCCGAGGAAGAAAAATTTGTCATCGATAACTTTATTGCGTTCCCTTTTCATCCCCTTTCACCTAGCAGACGACGCTCCGAATAAAGTCACGTCGTCTGTCTCACGATTCCGCCGCGTGATCTCCCGAGTCACGCGCCACAAGGTTACGCAACCTCACCTAGAATGAGGTCAGATCCTGGTCTGACCATTCTTGCCCAACTTTACTTGACCGAATCTATATAGCCGCCTGTTCTCTGTTGATCGCGCGCTCATTGCTGTCCGAAGTTTGTTGCGTATAGTATCTCTACTGTTGAACACGAAATAAAGCTCACTTAACCATTTTGATAAAAGAGGAGTTGAATTTACTTTTGCCCGGTAACAAGGATCAAGAAATCTCCTCTCAAGGAATTGTCTAAATTAGTTTAAACACAACTTGCGACGGTAAGTTGTACAATTGGAGAATCCAGAGACGTCCGGAATTTAAAGATTGTAAAAGATCTAAATAAGCTAATTTACGACAACATTTGTAACTATAAAAAAGTTCAAGAAACTGCAAAAAATGTATTGTAGAGATAATTTTGTTGTAGAGAGATACTATAACATGGGGAAAGAACCCTATAATGAGACCCACATACTTTTTTTTCAGAGAAACTTGTTGTACAGACAAGATTCTTTTTTACAAAGCCTCTTTCTCAAATTTCAGTCAAATATTACCTTGAATCTGGAGCCCATTTCCTACTAAAATGGAGAAATGAGGGAGGCATTTTTAGTTGCATGTATAGAAACAAACATTGAAAAAGTCTGCTAATGTTTTGGCACTTAATTTGATAGTGTATTGAGTACATATTTGCTCTAAGAAGGACTAGTATTCAATTGAGGTCACTCTGTAACATATGAGCCAGGTTCAGAGGAGGAGATTTAGCAAAATACAGTATATTAACTGGTCGCCATCAGTATGGCTCCTTCTAGAAAAAATAAATGTTGCCCTTCAGGGTTCCCTGAAGATCAAACCTCAAACCAATTACAGTACAGTTAGGCCTTGATTTTCAAACCTCACCAATTCAAAACATTGTTCAAATTGAATTTTTACTGTTCCCAAGAAGTTTCTGCCATAGTTTTGCCAACCTAATCAACCCAAAACTTTTCTAAATTCAATTTTTTATTGATGTTTTCAAATTCTAATTCTGAGTATGAAAAATTGAAATTATTTATTCAGCGGGTGCAAAATTCGCTGAAGTTTTATTAGGAGAAAAGTCAACTTCTATTTTTCATCAGATGATTTCAACTCCATTTGTCTTTCCATTTTTCCAATTACAATAACTGACTTCATTGCTACTTTTGAGAAATTTATGCTGAAGAAAATTTCCCACAGACCCACAAAAACTTCTACGCTGGTCCATGGACCACTGTTTGGAGAACACTGCCACAAGCATGGACCAAGTAAAGATCTGTTGCACAGGGAAAAATGTTGTGAATGAGGTCATTGTAGAGCAGAGAGTTCACCTGAATGTATACCAATTACATTCCACAGCACCAACATGAAACTGGGGAATGAGAAAACAATCTCCTCAGAACCTTTTTTCCCCCAAATAATCTTCCATGTATTTTCTGCCCCATCTGATCCACAAATTCCATAATACAGAGGCATACAAACAAATTCCTTCCCTGCTTCTGCTGACAAAACAAGCTCTTGCAGCCTGGCGATCAACAGCAAACATCACATACAATCGTACATCATCACTAGCGACATCTCAGTCAAACAATTCCAATCGTCGCACTCAACATTTTTCTCTTCCGACAAACGCTGGGCAAATCACTCCAATGTTCCGAAGTGTCTTTCGAACATTACCAAAACGCTGAACAAAACCATCAGACGAAATGACAGCACCAAGCATAAATCTTTCTTTTCCTCAGGATATTCTTCCAATCCGTGTTGGAAGCTTTGTTCAGAAAGATTTATACTGATTGAACATTTTCCTCACTTGTACTTTGAAAACCTCACAACGAACTGGGGAATCTTCTCGTATACCATAAACACGCTTTGCTCTCTTCTCTTTGTCCAATAAAATATTCCAAAGAATTAAGAAAAGGCCTGCTATAAACTGAGTTGCAACTCCTTCTTCTATAGCTCTCACGAACTAAAGCAATTGATACACTCATCTGATCTTCAACGAAAACTGACGAAGGAAACCTTTTTTCAAAGTACAAACAAAAACGAAAAACAAACACATCTTCGGGGAAGACGCTTTCAAACAGCTGAATTCGCGTCGACAATTTTTCCAGCTTCGTCTTCCTCACCAGTGTCCAATTCTGATTGACAATGCTGACAGCAGTTGCTGTTGAGATTCAGCCTGTTTTTCAGCTGCTTTGAGTCGTCAATCTGAAAAGTTATAAAATCATTTTTTGGATTAAAAAAAATTTGAAACACATCAGTGAGATCCTAAAATATGGACATTCCAACGTATGAAGAATTTAACTGAGGGATACTGTACTTGAAGTTTTGAAAAATCTCATCCTGACAAAGGCTCAACAAAAAGAACATTCTTTTGGTAGATGAACAATTTTTTTTAAATATGGACATCTCTTGAACAAGCTGAGCTTTTTATATTCACAAGATTTGAAAATGATTTTCATTATGAATTTACTAAAATGTATAATGAGAAACAGGTTATTTTTGTGCTATTTTTTTGGAGTATTCTCCATCATCCATGCACAGTATAACAAGACTTGTACTTTATCTTTGTTTTTGGGGCCCTTTGGATGCCAATCAGATTCTGGGTGGTTTTCTTTTGCACAGCTATATTCTGCATCTCCAAATTAAAAAGCACAATTCATTCAATACATTTGGGGAATTTTTTTTTAATTTTTAATGAACTAATATGCAGAACAAATCAAAAGAGTTTCTGTTGAAGTCTATGTGAAAATGTGATCCAACATAGGGACATTCTGACACAGGAACAAGGTTTAATCACTAATTAAACTCAATCTTGGGGTCTCACAGGATAATAAAATGACAGCATTAAACATACTGAGTCAGAAGTGGTGGGTTCTTCATTAAGTTCCTCCTGCTCCTGGTCCATGGCATTCAGTTCTTTCTTGGACCACTGCTCCACAATGGCTGCTGTGTAGCAATCACCAAGCATGTTGTTGGTTGTGCGGAATCGGTCACTGAACAGCAGAGGCAAAAGGAGAAAAAGAAAACTTTAGGAAACATGGTTATTTTTTTCATCTTATTATAAACCAGTGTTTTATCTAACCTTGCTGGACCCAAAGACCAGCAGAAATGTCTCTAATACCTGCCATGAAGTCATACAAAAAACTTTTATAGGAAAAAGCTGAGTCAAGAAACAATGAAGCAATTATAGCAGATTTTCTTCAAAAAGTTAAAGCTGGGCTTCACAAAAGGTTTCTCAGAATGAAAACTTGGAATACTTTATTTTAGTGTTGGAATATTTTATTAGTTTCAGTGTATATTAGTGGGTGAAAATTTGTCAGAAGTGTCATTAGGAAAAAAGCCAACTTTGCTTTTTCATCAGATAATTTCAAATGCCTTAGTCTATTATAAATTTCAGATACAGATAGGAGACTTCATTGCCACTTCTGATACATTCATAATGCTGAAGGAAACTTCCAGCTGACAAGCAGAAAAGTTATGTGGACCAGTGGCAGTCTGTAGACCATGGTTTGCAGACCTACTGATGTAAACATATCTTAATTTTGAATGGCTTCTTCTGGAACATACCACAGAGTCTTGATCTAGTATACAGTATATCAATCTTGAACTCAAGCCAAATGAGCTGGGTGTTATATTATTAATTGCCTGAGTGACCTAATGAATTCGAAAACAGCTTGTAAAGCTGGTGTTTCATGCAACACATGCCTCCAACATCAGTCAGCTGTGAGAGACCCAGAGAGGAAGATAGTTATTCAGTCATCTAAATGAAAGAGGATCATGACATATGCTTTACAGTATCACATTTTCAAATACATGTCATGGAAATCCATTAGAAGTATAGTTTTTACCTATGATGGATGCTGAAAGCATTGCAGACATTGACTGGATGATACTCACATCAGTTCAGTTGCCCCCCAGTCACTAACCCTAATCCATTTTAGGATTTTCAGGCTTTTAACAGTTCTATACTTGACTGTTGTCAAACACAAATACTTTTAGGGAAAGTTTTGTGAAATAAGAACTTACACAAACCAGTCAACAGTAAAAAGAAGAGTGACTTGTGCTGATGGAACATTAATGGCATCCAAAACCATCAGCATCAGAGCCAAGGCAGCACTGGGCACACTGGCAGCAGCCACACTAACAGCAGTTGCTGTCACCCTATGCACAGAAGAGCAGATCAACATGAGAACACTTGTCTGCAATGCTTGTAGAACAAATTGCAATCTGCTTTCACTTTTTTCCTAAACTAGCAAATACTTTTCTCTAAAAGTAAATTATAATATGATATAATGACACACATTGCTTGAAAAAGTACTTGGCTGAAATCCAACCACCAGAAATGTGTAATGAAAAAGGAGAAATAAAGCAATGGATGGTGAACTTACACCACAGTGGCATATTGGCCCAGGTCCAGTTGGATGGAGTTGATCTGAGCAATGAAAATGGATGCAACTGAGACAAACATGGCAGTGCCATCCATGTTGACTGTGGCTCCAATTGGGAGGACGAATTTCGAAATCCTCTCATCCACGTTGTTGTTTTCTTCCATACACCTGAATGTCACTGGCAAAGCAGCAGCTCTGAAAGCAAAAAAAAAAAACAAAATCAGCATGCAAAAATGTTTCACACAAGCTAAAAAACATAGTCCTTTTTTATGGGGCAGGAGAAACCCGAAATTGTTTTGGAAACAATCATTTTAATTCTTTCTTAGGTTTACTCTCAGGATGAACCACGTTGTTCAGAAACTGAACTGTGATGAAAAGCTGGTTTTCTCATCATATGAGAAAATTGTATTTAAATAAAATAGGCATCAGAAGAGAGCAAAAAAGAGTTTCTGCTAGAAAGTCCTGGTTCACCTTTACGAAAAAAAAAAAAAACATTATGCACGCAGGAAAGTTCAATTACAGTATTTCCAAAAATGTCCAATGAACGCTTGAGGAGAAGTTTTGAATAATTTGTCAAGAAATTAGAGGGAGACAGAGAAGGTAGTCTGAAGAATAATGTCTAACTTTGCTTCCCTTAAACTTCTTTTAGACCTCATGTCAGCTTTCAAAAGTGGGAAAAAAGTTCTTCAACATTTCAAGAACATGCTGTCTGACCAAGTATACAAGGTTATGTGTACTGTATTTCTAATTAATAACATGAAACCATAACGAGAATGTTGTTTTCTGGTTGCCTAATGCATAATTCAAAAGGCACACATCAGGCTTAGAGTCTTGGCCTCCATGCACAGATTGATTAGGTTTCATCAAGGATTCCAAGTTTTTAATAAAAATATTTCTCGTAGCCTAAGGACGGCTTTTGGCTTATTCAGCAATAAAAAGACTGAAACTCTGGTTTAAAACTCAATCAAACGCACAAAATATTCTACCAATGAACTGGACTTTTTTTTTTAAAGAATTTAGCTCTTCTCTTTCAAGTGCATGTCTGGAGGTCTACTGGATGTGTTTTTGAAACATTTACTATTGACCTCATTCTAAAATGGATTTTAAAGTCCATTATTATTCAAAATCATAATTTAGATATACAATACATTTTCTTGCCACCATCAAAATGAATGAAAAAATGAAATTTTTTGAGAGCCTAAAAAAATTGGACAAGAGAAGAATAATTTGGGATTTTTGCATGCATCACACAAACAATAGATTAACAATAAAAACTTTTATGATGATTTTGGTTGAATAAATGCCTCGGTAAAAATTGTAGTACTAATCAAATTTTTTTACTGAAATGGAAACTTTTCACAATTGAAAAATTTCAATCTTCTACACTAAATCTTCAGGAATGGTCAAAAACTCTCCAACATTTGAAAAGACTTTAGCAGGTTTTAGGTAATTAAAATTACGTTTTCACGATATGACGTTGGTTTTGGTAAAATATGGTGTAAATTTTCAATCAGAAAAATGCCAAAATATGCAGCATTCAATCGACATTTGTAATATGGGAACACTCTGTAAAATTGGACCAATGAAGAATTAAATATCTGCATAAACAAAAAGAAGCACATGCAGACTGAAAAAATTAATTCTTCATCGATTTGTTCCTTGTACTGTAAATGCTAAAAATAAAATACAGTACTGTACTGTATAATATTCAAGAACTCAAAAACATGTTGTGTTCGATTCTGTGTTAGATCATACTTGATAAGCAAAAACTCACGTTGAAGCAGTAGCAAAAGACGTGAACCAGGACTGGGCCAGACCCCAGTAAAACTTGAAGGGGTTCTTGCGAACAAAGAAGAAATAGAGAAGTTGGATGATGACCCATTGGTAAGTGAAGACCCCCAGGAGAACTGTGAGAATGAACAGAGCCAGTTGGGAAATGGTTTCTGCCAAGTCTGCCATGTCCAAAATCT